AGGGACTCCTGGAGAAACAGAGGGACTCCTGGAGGAACGGAGGGACTCCTGGAAGAACGGAGGGGGAAAGGAGTAACTCCTGGAGGGGGAACAGAGGAGGAACAGAGGGACTCCTGGAGAAACGGAGGGGGAAAGGAGGAACAGAAGAGGAACAGAGGGAGGCTGGATCTGTCCCGGCACGTTGCATTCAGGCGCATTCCTCTGGCTCAGGTTTACGGAGCCCAGGGCTTCGGGGTTTCTGTGTTTTAAGACTCCAGCCCGGGCTGCTGGGTTTTTAATTTTTTTATTATTTATTTCTTTAATCAGGACAGTGCACATTAATGAACAATCTCATACAGGTTGTAAATGACCCAGATTATAGCATAGTTGCTAGTTTACATCTGTGGTCCTGAGGCAGGAAGACCAAACAACACAAAATCACAAAATACAAAATCAGTCCAAACACACGTTCAGACAATGACATTACAAAATTAAAATGAATTCAATTCAATTCAATTTTGTTTACATAGCTACACATCACAACAACAGTTGTCTCACAGCACTTTCCGATCTCTTTATCAGGGGAGTTTACGGCCGCCTGTTTAAATCTAAAGCAGGGGTCTCAAACTCCAGTCCTCGAGGGCCGCAGTCCTGCAGGTTGTAGATTTTTTTCCTGCTTCCGCACGCTTGATTCGGATTAAATTGGATCTCCTCTGGACATTGCTGAGCTTTGCTAACAGCTCTGTGATGTAAATCAGGTATGTTGAATCAAGGAAACCTGTAAAACCTGCAGGACAGCGGCCCAAAGAGGACTGGAGTTTGAGACCTCTGATCTAAAGGAAAACGCTTTTAGACATTTTCCACCGGTTATCTGCTTTCCAGAAGCCTGTTTTGCCTCGTCGTTCACTTCCACAGTTACCGCGTTACGTTTATTCTTTTATGCCTGTTTATAAAGTTGTCTATTTTCTATTTTCTTTCACTTTCAAACGGAGGTTATCTCGCCTTTTTGGTCCACTTCCTCTTTTCTGTGGCCTAATCTGATTGGTGATCTTTACGGTGGTTTGTATCTTCCTTCCTATCAGCTTATCTTTATTCGTCAGCCTTTCTTCTTTTTTCTTCTTTTTATAGTTTAAGAAAAAGCCAGGTTGTTGTTTTTTTGTTTCATCCGGCTGTTTGTGACTGTGGTAGCTGGTTAAGTCACTCCTTTTTCAGCTAAAGTTACCTGAAGGCAAATGTTTTCTGCCTTTGTTTTGCCTCCTGCTAGCTCAGTTGAACCTTTTTCCTGTTTCCTGTCAGTTTCCTCGACGTCTTTCTCCCCCCTCAATCGGTGTAAAACTGTCAGAGCTTTTGAAATGAGAGAAGTCCCCCTTAACTCATTGGCTGCCAAAGACCTCTATAGACGTCTTTTATGTTTTCAACCAGAGTGTCTGGGGGACGATCTGCTAAAGCTTGTCCGTAAATATCGGCTTCTAGACAGACTATGTAGTAACAAATTGACCCTGTAGGGGGCAGTGCCACTTTTGATGGGAGATGAGCATAGACTGTAGGCAAATAAGAAAAAGGTAACGGTTCTATGAGAGAACATGTCGCCGGTGAGACGCAAGTCCAGGAAGAACGGAATAAGGTAGAAACAATTTGTTTTTCCTGATGAAAGAAGAGAGTCTACTCTTTCTTTTGGTGTGTTCGGTGTTTACATAGTCATAGCACAAACTATTCTGTGGCTCTTGAAAAATCAGTCAAAAGGCAAAAAAAACTCTGGCAGTATGGGACTCTCTGTTCTGAAAATGGCCACCAGTCGATGAGTTAAAGGTAAAGGCATTTTTACATACAGTTTTATATTACTTTATCAGGACGATGGATGGAGCGGAGGAGGAGGGCGGGGATCTGAGGATCCAGGACCAGGATCAGGACCAGAGCCGGAGTCCAGCCGCTTCGGAGCAAAAGGTTCAGAAGCCTCTGCCCTCCTCTCTGCGACTTTGACTTGTGTGGTTTCCTCTGAGGGGTTTCAGCCTCTGCTAAACGGCTGGTTTAGCCTGATGTGCTAAAGCTGTGGTCACAGGAAGCTGAGAGGAGGCAAAGACCACAGACAGCCATCTGAGCTGCTCTTTTCTTTCCTTTAAACAACATTTTTATTGAGTTATATACAGTATATATTTCGCTCCTACAAAGAGACAATAATCAAAGCAATAATATCCATAAAATGAACAGTCACTCTTTCCACTGTCCACTGTTTTCTGTCTGTTTCCTGTCTGTTTTCTGACTATTTCCTGTCTGTTTTCTCTGTGTTTTCTGACTGTTTTCCATCTGTGTCCTGCCTGTTTTCCGTCTATTCCCTGTCAGTTTCCTGTCTGTTTTCCTTCTGTTTCCTGTCTGTTTCCCGTCTGTTTCCCATCTGTTTCCTGTCTATTGTCCGTCTGTTTTCTGTCGGTTTTCTGGCTCTTTTTTGGCGATTTTCTCTCTGTTTCCTGTCTGTTTTCTGACTGTTTCCTGTCTGTTTTCAGTCTGTTTCCTGTCTGTTTCCTGTCTGTTTCCTTACTGTTTCCTGTCTGTTTCCTGTTTCCTGTCTGTTTCCTGTCTGTTTCCTGTCTGTTTCCTGTCTGTTTCCTGTCTGTTTTCCGTCTGTTTCCTGTCTGTTTTCTGACTGTTTCCTGACTGTTTCCTGACTGTTTTCTGACTGTTTCCTGTCTGTTTCCTGTCTGTTTTCTGTCTGTTTTCTGTCTGTCTGTTTTACTGACTATTTCCTTCCTGTTTCCTTTCTGTTTCCTATCTGTTTTCTGACTGTTTTCTGCCTGTGTCCTGTCTGTTTTCTGACTGTTTCCTGTCTGTTTCCTGACTGTTTCTTGTTTAGTGTCCCGCCCTGTGCGACGTGCTTCACGGCTCCATCCAGGACCGAGAGAACAGCCCCATGATGCGAGCCAGTGAGAACACACACCTGTGTGTGTGTGTGTGTGTGTGTGTGTGTGTGTGTCACAGTGTGTGTGTGTGTCATAGCTCACCTGTGTGTGTGTGTCATAGCTCACCTGTGTGTGTGTGTGTGTGTGTGTATGTGTCATAGCTCACCTGTGTGTGTGTGTGTGTGTGTGTGTGTGTGTGTGTGT